TAAATTATATATTTCTATAATGATGGATAAACGGAAATGTGACTATCCCGTGACTCGCAAGGAGTCCTTATCTTTTTCCACTAGACTCATGTTCATTTTTTGCAAAGCTTCGGAAGAAGCTTCGAGGCTTTGTCCAAAAGTGGGGTTTCCTGTGGAGGAATTGATCTTGACCGTCTCAAAAACAAAATCACCAAATAACTTCAAACATTACTCCAAACGTTATTATGCATTGAAATCGCTATCGTACCGTTAATGGTGCAGATACTAAACTTATCTGAATGTTCGAACTAATTAAAAGCGCTTTCAGTCCATTTTACATAATACCCATTTCATAGAAACCTAAAACATTCTTATCATTCCTTTCCTAAAAAACCTTTATTTCTTATTTGATGGAACAAGTTGTACTTTTAGTTGGTGATAAATGAGCATGATGCAATATCTTAAAACATTTTTTACTATAATACAATATAATCCGTTTTTGATTTGATTCATAAAATGACATACTGAAGTGACTGAGATGGAAGACAAATGGCATACGATTATAGTATATTATATAATTACATTATAGCTTCTTAGCTAGCCACGGAGACAAAAATAAAATCGAATAGAAATTTTTTATCCGATTTAAGGAAACAAAAGGATCTTCGTATAAGAATGGTGTTAATAATTCTTCTTCATTTCATGATTTATATATTCGTCATTTCCAAAGCTATTTTGCTATCAACATGTCGAATCCTTGCGCTATTTTTTGAACGGCCACTACAACGCTGAAGAAGATTTTCATCCATATTAAGTTTTAAAACTTCGCTCTACAGCAGAACATAACTTAATTTTACATATTCAAGCACACAAAATGCTTTTTCTACGTGATTAGCAGGTATACATGCAGTCATATTGCTCATGCCTGTGGGTCATATTGCTTGACTTACATCAGTAATGCTGACGTGAGCAAATGAGTAACATCACAAAAGTAAATAAGGGTAGCCTATTTGATTACTGAAAAATATACGATGCCTATCTGAATAGTGGGAGGCCTTCGTTGAGGATTTGCTGAGTAAAATTGGTTGATATTCACGCTTCACATGATAAAAAACACGAAAACCAGCCATACAACCAGCCTATTCGCCTAGGATCGAACCCAACATAGTGAAGAAAAAAAGCTGAAACACTTTTTAATACGGAATTAAATTTTTTCTTCGTGAAAATAAATAATTTTTTTATTTATAACCATTCAATCTATTTATTTCTTTTAGTCTGATTTTATAGTAAAAAAGGTTTTAAGATATTGCATCATGCTCATTTATCACCAACTAAGAGTACAACTTATTCCGTCAAATAAGAAATAAAGGATTTTTAGGAAAGAATGATAAAAATGTTTTAGGTCTCTATGAAATGGGTATTATGTAAAATGGACTGAAAGCGCTTTTAATTAGTTCAAACATTCAGATAAGTTTCAGTATCTGCACCATTAACGGTACGATAGCGATTTCAATGCATAATAACGTCTGGAGTAATGTTTGAAGTTATTTGGTGATTTTGTTTTGGAGACGGTCAAGATCAATTCCTCCACAGGAAACCCCACATTTCGACAAAGCATCGAAGCTTCTTCCGAAGCTTTGCAAAAAATGAACATGAGTCGAGTGGAAAAAGATAAGGACTCCTTGCGAGTCACGGGACAGTCACATTTCCGTTTATCCATCATTATAGAAATATACAATTTAGATCGTTTCACACATCATTCCTAATATGGGGCGGGCAAAGACGAATGTTTTTTGTTCTTGTATGTCTCATGTATACAATAAAACACATAATTGTTTGACTGAATGAATTAAATAAAATAAATTTCAATTCGCTTTACATTATAGATGCTTCATTGGCACTTCATGAAATCCCATCATTCATCTTCGCAGACCCGTTAAGTGTATAAAGTATATAAAGTATTTCTCCCGCCTTTCAGATACCTTATGTATTAGAATGGTTTGGTGCTAGCTAGGCGTTCAGACCGACCTTATGTATCAGAGTACAATGAATGCTGAAACTTTGTTTGAAAAGTTGTCAACTCAGCATGATTTATTTTTCTCGGCGAGAAATCGCCTAAATTAAATTGGCGCCTGGCGGCACTTCAAAATATATATCACGCTGAGAATATATCTAGCTCTTGGTGTCATTCTTTGTACCTACGGTGAGAATTTGTGAATATTTATAATCTTTAGTGATGAGATATATAACTTCTTAGATTATGATATACAGTTTTATAATTCAAAATTAAGTGTCTTCACTAACAAATTAATTTATCGGGGCATGTATCGTGTAATTGATACCTCTCTAGAAAGCAAGTATGCTGCGCCTCAAAACTAGTACTTATTTTTATTATATATTTATTAAAAAGGCATAAAGCTATCGAATTCGTAGTAAAGTTTGGTTAAGATGCCCAGACTTTCGAGATTGTGCACTACAGTCCCGAATTTAAAGACTGTGTCCTGCTTCCGGATAATGCGCCGTATTCGTAAATATTCCTTGACTTTGTATTTGTAGTTTGAGTTTTAGTGCAGAATTGGGTGGTCCTTCGATTAACGACAATTTTTTTTTTCTACATTTTGGCGATAAAACCTCATTTCTGGTTACCATGATATTTTTAACTTTATTTTAGCTTGTTGATTTTTTTTTTTAGTGAAAATAGATTGATGTGTACATGGACACAGAGTTTGTACAGTTCCTTGACTTTTTATTTTGGTTTTGTGTAATGGTCATCTTGAAATTGTGCCTTCCTGGCGCCGATCTTGGCGTCAGAAAAGAATCGCCAAAAACAAGGAGCACCCAATTGCAAACTTTTACTGTAGTTTGACTTGCATTTTCTTAGTACTGCTTTATAAAGTTGTAAAGTCTCACTGTTTTGGAAAACATCACTATGTCGAGACTCTGAAAGACTTAAACGAATTATCACTATGAAGACACTTCTTGTGTTTACAACACCAGCCATCATTTATGGCTCAACTCAAAAGATGGAATTTGAAATGTAAAGTAAGTCTTAGTTTGACCAAAGGCTACATGGAAATAATTATGAGCAATTTGGCTTAAGCCTACCCGTACATAAGAAGCGCTATCGGCAAGAGTAAAGCAACGCCTAAGACAGAATGTTAAGGTAGAATTTCAACTAGTAACGTGGCTTTCAGTAGACAGAACACTCTCTGATTAAACAGTCTTAAACTTCCCTTAAAATACTGTCGCTTTCTATCTCATTTAAATACGCATGAACTAAAATTAGCATTCTGGCAGGAAAACGGAAAGAGAGAAATGACAATATAGATCCTGAACCTAAGATAACTGGTTAAGTAAAATAATTAAATACATTCTAAGTCATGAAGATGATTTATGGAATCGGAAACATATTCAATTATCAAATTATCGTTTTTTCTAAATACAATTTTTAAAGAAATCGCTGGTTTGTGAATGAATTTATGTATTTCAATTCCAGATGCCTTTCACACTTAGAAATTGGAGTGAAATCATTTGAAGAATTTTAAATGGAACATTTTTTCAAAATACTATAGAATGTAAACAAATGAAGAAAGACTTAACATTCGAAAGAAAGTACTTTGATGAAAGATAATTCATTATCTGATGACGCATTATTGAATGAAACGTTGTATTTATAATATGAAATATCTGAAAAATTAAAAATTTGCGCACGTATAAAAAATTGAAATTGAGCAAAAAGAAGGGCTATTAGCCTCGAAACGGACTTTTGCGTTGAATCACTTAAAATGCAATTTATCACTTTTCAAATTATTACCACCAAATATTATTGTCCTGTAGGAACTAAATAATTAATTCATTATTTAATTCCTTTAACTGTAAGCAAAGGAACGAAATAGTGAAGAATAATAATTCTGCTTGAATTATATTATTCATTCTTCATCAATTAATTCTTGCTAATAATTCTGTTTGAATGTATGTATGTTTTTCACATTATGATAAAACAACGGTACCTATAGCCCTTAAATATTGAATAATGTAGCCGTCCACCTGAACATGGCACCTTGAAGCCGAAATTTAGAATTATGAATTTGTCTTATTGTCTATTTCATATTTTATAATCTTTAACAAATTTTTGATTAACAAACTCAACAATTTCAAAGCGAGCAATGTCAACCCTGTACGAGAAAAAAAATTACCTCCATTACCTCCACGACACTATTCTAAAGATATGTTATTTTTAAATATTTTGTGATATTATTGTTGAATTGAATTTTATGTGGTTTAAGGACGAATACCGTAATATTTAATAAATAAAGCTAAAAAAAGGCCCCTTTGGGGGTAATTTTCTTGATTTGTTATTAATATATTATATATATATATATATATATTTATTTTTGTCAACAAAATTGTCATGATATATATATATCATGTCATATATTTCGTATAAATCTGCCCACCTGACAGCAGACAAAGCGTTTTCAGTTTCGTAATGTGCAATGTGTTGTTCCAATTTTATAAAATACATTAAGCACAGAAATGTATTATAAAAAGCATATGATTAAAAATATATGGTTTTTTTATGTAATAAAGATATTCGCGTATAATATAATCTTTTGAAAAATCATCAGAATAATTATATAGCATAAATGTAGTATAAAAAGAATATAATTAAAAACATATAGTTTTTTATGTAAAAAAGATATTCGTATGTGATATAATGTTTCAAAAAATCGCGAGAATAAATATGTAATCAATAGCATAATCGTCTATAATAAACTCTAATGTACCATTTCATTTTAACTACTCTTCTTGGAAAACATTTAATATGAAAGTAAGTCCTTTTTTACAAACAGCAGAAAAATCGGTTCTTTAATGTCTCTTAAACGTTTTTTAATTGTTAAAGAAAAAACTGGCAAATTTATTGAATATAAAGCTGCTAGAATAGCATATAAATTCTCAAGATGTTATTTTTTTCTTATTTCTTTTCTCCCATTAACAATTTCTGTTTTTATTTCTGTAAGGTTTCCTCCATTTTTCGATGATAATCCTTTTGCAATATATGAGAAAATACTGGCTGGGAAAATAGACTGGCCGAAGCACATTGATCCTGTTGCCAAGTGAGTTTTTCTAAATCTTTTTATCTTGCTTATTGGAAAGAAGAATTTCACGTTCTGATTTATATTTTTATACTTTATTTTTCATTTCAGAGACTTAATAAAGAAGCTTTTAGTACCTGACCGAGCGAAAAGACTCGGAAATATGAAAGTAAGTGCGTGACTTTAATTTATTTTATAGATTTGCTCTTTTTTAGGGAAGGATCAAAGCAATTTATTTTAATTTAGAAGTCTTAAAATTACGAAATTCTGTGTCGCAATACCGATCTCCTTTAAAAGAAACACTCAGCTTTGGAAAATGTCCTTATTATTGAAATTACTAGCTTCCGTATGTAGCTGTGCTTTTATTTCCAATTTTATGAGCTGTGCTAAAATGGAGACCCCAATTTCGATATTCTATCACTGTATCTGAATGCTATGTATACAAAGTGTCAAGAATATCACGAATCCAGACAATGTACCGAGAACATTATTGATTAAATTCTTGTGCTGCAGTAGTGTTCTTATAATACAATGAGGCTAGATTTTCATAGCGCGTTGTAGTATTAATTGAGTTATTTTGAAAAGAAAGGTTGCCCATAAAAAACTGAACGATTACATAGAATACAAGAAAATATGCCATATGAGTTTTCTGATTAGACATTTCATTTAACAAATTGTGCAAATAAAAGCTATAAAAAAGAACAAAAAAGGTCTTCTGTATCAACCTTGGCATGATCTCTCCCGGTACGTCTGAGGACACAGCCTCTTCCCCACCTACTTCTATAAAATAAATATGGTTGGTACCTAAAGATACGAGTGTATGTGTAGAAAGGGGTGGCGATCCAGACCACTACATGTTCCGTTATGTTCTAACAGAGAGGCATCCCCCAAACCCTAGCACTGAACTGGAAAGATTCTTGTTTAAACACGGCAAGACTTACCACCGCATTAAAACTATCATGGAAGTGCTCCAGTGCCAAGGTCTGGAGCTGTGCCATCCTTGGCAGAGCATTCCTGGGTGCCTCTGTAGCAAACATTTTTCTTTGATACTTTGATATTTTGTCTTTGACGACATTTAGCTAGACCTATATCTTGCTTTCTCCGGTACCTGGGATAATCCCCGGGTACCACACGTACTAAACTTTAGGGAACCAACATCATCTGTTAATGTGCTACTGATGATCGGTACCTCCAAGGCATAATGCAAAAATTATGCTAAAACGCCTTGTATTTTGTTAAACCTCTGAAATGTTTCAGGAAGTATATACAAGGTACTGTATCTTCCCACCCCCTTTCTTTTCCATTTATTTCAATAAACTGTCGACGCAGGACACTTGCGACTCCTGTGGATGTGAGTTGCTGTAGATGGGTAGTGTGCTAGAGGGAGGCTATACCAGTTTTGCCTACGACGCTGTGATGGTGCCCTTCACACTTGTTCCTGTTCTGGCTTGTAGCAGCCTTGGCGAGAATGTTGATTTGGTGCGCGTTTCCGATAGTGGGAAACAAACGGTAACCGATTTGTGCATGTGCGAGAAACAAATGGTTAACGATCTAACTGGTTTTTCGTAATTACATTATGTTAGTATACCTGTTTTTTATTATAAATATTCATTATGCTTGTTATTTTCAATATCCATCAACGGAAAAAGAAGCTGTAGTTGATGTTTTGGGCATTGTCACTAGTTATTGCTAAACTGTGGAAAGCGTCTGTAAAAGATAAATTTTCGATTTGTTTATATGTGTTCTTTTTAATAATAAGTTGCTCACAAAATCGGTTTAAACAAAGAATAGATAGAACTTTTCAGTGTGTTTATTTATGCCGTTTAAAAAAATGGCATTCATTATTGAATTAAATACATATATTGTAAATAAATATATCAAATTAAATTAAGTATAGTATTTTAAATTATATTGGTATTTTAAGTAAATTATTAAAAAAATAAAACTGTATAAAATATTGTAATAAACACAAATTTATATTAAATAACTTATTTTGCGATGATATTGAATGAATTATCACTTACCTCACTCAGTATCGTTTTCATGCATGTTTATAATATTTGACAACAAATCGCACTTTCTGTGACCGAACTGCGCCAACACCATTTTCTCTCGCCAAAGCCGCTGAAGAAAACAAGTGTCTAAGAAAAGAAATATAAAATAGAACACTTACTAAACAAAACGGAAAATTTCTGTCTACCTTAGAAACATAACTTGAACGTTTATTCTGTGCAAAATAAAAATTTATTACAGCGAAAAATAGATATTAAGCCCGTAATAAGTTTTCACCAATGCTAAGACAGATTTCAGAACTCAGCCTTTAAAACTCAACCTGCTGACAGTAAAAATTTCTATCAGGTGCTCGTGAAGCTGGACTTCTTTGATGGTCTGCTTCCTCGAGAACGGCGTTAAGCAACATTTTTCGTCAGTCCATTGCTACATTCCGATTGGCGATTGTTCCTTAGGATGGAACAATTGCCAACTTCTGATAAGGCTATTGCTACAATAACTTGGCTTATACATTGAAAGAGATAAAACTTTCCAGTCTAGTTCTAGTAACTTCTGATGGGTCGCTTGAACCACTTAAGTTTCATATTGATGTGCAGGGATCTGATAGCTCTGCCGCACGGTCGTTTCAAAGGAAGAAACGATGCAATTGCTAACAGTGCATTTCGAGTACGGGTACTGATGTACAGTGGAAACAGCTGTTAAAGCATTAAGTGGATGGATTCTTGTTTCGGTAAAGCTTGGGCGGTTCGTAATACGTAGATGATTTCTCTCTTTTGCTCGATAGCTGTGTGTCTTTTGTGCATGGAATACTGAATCTAGAACGCATGCGCAAATACACTGATGCCAAAGAAAAGAGATCACATCTATTTCTCTATTTCTCTTTTGAAATTCATCGACCGTTTCCTTTAACGTTAGTTGAATTTTGATACCTCTTGTCTTGTATTTTCGAACATTTTTTCCTTGTATCATATTTTCTGAAACTTCATGACCATATAAATATTATTAATAATAAGTTTTAAATAATATGTAATAATTTTCTCAGACTTTCTACCATAGTAAATTCACTCGTTTGCTCAATTGTAAAATTACTATTTATTCTAAAGTCTGAATATTATTAATTTTACCACAAAATAAAAAACGTTTTTTTTTCTCAAATACAGTTATTTCAGATAAACTGTCTTTTGTTCTCTAAAGGCTAAATATTTTTATGCAAAAAAAAAAAAAAAAAAAAAAAAAAAAAAAAAGCAAGAGAAAGGAAAAATTTTCTAAATCATATTTATCGATTTAATGTTTAATTTTAAGTCAAAAAAGACTGCATTATCTTTTAATTCAACGAATTTTTTGTGGGGTAATAATTTCCATTTACGTTGAGCTTATATTTCTATGTATACGACAAAAGAGGCATAAATTCAGTTTGTCTGTTTACGTTGGTGTTGGACGTCATAAGCTATCGTGACATTATCCATAATATATAGCACAGCAGCAGCAGTATTTATTCATTAGATCCTGAATAAATATCTCGCGCTGGCCATAGGTATTAATTTTTTATCAATATGCTTTTCTGAAAGTTCCTACATAGTGTCTAAATTAATGTGAAATACATACATAGAACATTTACAAAATATTAGGATTATATTTTTGCAACTAATTTCAACTAATTTCAAAGGAGCGGGGGGGGGGGGGGGGGGGGGGGGGGGGGGGGGGGGGGGGGGGGGGGGGGGGGGGGGGGGGGGGGGGGGGGGGGGGGGGTTAAGCGATAAATAATAACAACTACTAATGCATTTCACTTTCAAAACAGAATAGGAATACATAGAAGTAAAAAAAAAAAAAAAAAAAACACAAAATGAGCAACCTTGTGTTTGGCGTAGTTTGGCATCCATTGGTGAATTGAATTTTCTTGAAGCTTTTGAGATTCAGAAAGATTTGTCTTGTTTAGTTAATGACTAATTCTCATCCAGTCCTTCCTAACGCTTTTAAAATTCTATTAGCTCAATTTCAATTTTAGTTTCCATTTCTACCGACAGATGGCGTTGCCTTCTTTTTCGTCTTATTCCTATAGGGTATAAATACGAATAATAATTTTTTTTTTCCTTGCCACTTCCTATTTACTGTATTTACGCGACGATTGACTTATCGTGATGTCGCCATTGTGGCTAGTTTGATAGAGCCGGATACGCAGTTCACAGGACTGCATTGCCGGCAGTAATCTGCCAGTCAGTCAGTCAGTATTCCTTTCACTTGGTCAGCGCACATCAATACTACCAGGGGAAAAATCTACGCTATCATGCGGAAACTTTATTTTCTACTCTCAGAAAACTCAGGATTCAGCATAACCAGGATAAAGCGTATTTATACCATCATCATCCGTCCCATCTTTTCATATGCCTCGCCGGTTTGGGCAAATGCAAAACGCTAGGAAATTAAAAAACTGCAAACCATCCAAAATAAATTTTTACGACTAATTACTGGAGCACCTTACTTTATCAGGAACAAAAATCTTCATAGAGATCTGAACATCGACTTCTTTAAGACCCACCTCAACAAACTGAACGAAAGTTTCTATCAAAAAGCCATTTCCATAACCACTTTGCTGATTTTTCTGACGCGCTAAACTATGTAATAATCGATGACGACTACTTTGCTCGGCCCTTCACAGCTCATGTATTTAATATGTTAAGTCAAAATAGCTAAAACTATTTCATCCCACGTCGGACTTTGGACGTTTTCTTCACACAAGTTCCTAATCTGCTTTTTAGTCACTTCATATTTTCACAAGCATCGAGCATCAATAGAGTACCGAACGGATAGAGCATAAGCCTACAGAACTGCAGATCGTCACTTCGATATTCAGTGGGTAACGACTTTTAGAAGTACTGGTCTTCTCCAAGATCTCCAGCAGATTCTTCACTTCCCGAAGCCATGTTTTTGAATCATTTTCTTTCTTTTGAATGTTGATATCCCATCTTCGGATCTACTCATGTAAACCTCATCACCGTTCCCATTGTGGAAATATCTCAGGTTGCAAGGAAGTACTGCTGAAGCAGTAGAAACCCTGCATAATCACGTTCGTATCAAAGTATACTTTATTTCGTATCGTGTGTGAAAAAAATCAAAGTTCACGGTCTTCACCAAATGCTTACTCTCATCTCATTGGCCGCA